CTTCTTAGGAAAGGGTCACAGCGCAGATACAGTGCCCCTGAAGCAGAGAGTGTTAAGGGCCCAACAGTGGCAGCTTAGTGGTGCTGGGGCTTGAACCAGTGTCCTCCATTCAGCCACAAAAGCAATAATGGGGTTGGGCACTGATGTCTGGTGAGGAGGCCTGGGGTGCAGTCAGGGTTCCAGTTCATCCCAGAGGCGTTCAGTGGGGTTGAAATCAGGACTCTGTGTAGACCACTCGAGTTCTTCCAGTCCAACCTTGGCAAACCATGTCTTCATGGAGCTCGCTTTGTGCACAGGGGCATTGTCATGCTAAACCATGTTTGGGCCTGTTAGTTCCACTGAAGGGAAATTGTAATGCTACAGCATGTGAAGACATTCTATACAATTGTGTGTTTCCAACTTTGTGGCAACATTTTGAGGAAGGCTTACATATTGGTGTGATGGTCAGATGTCCATATACTTTTGGCCATATAGTGCATATCGGGTCAGTTTTTGAATCTGTCTAAGCTTTCTTGCCATTAATTAATTCATTCATTCGTTCATTCATCTTCAGTGAGCACTTTATCCTGGTCAGCATCGCAGTGCCTATCCCAAAGCCTATCCCGAGATCACTGTGCATGAGTGTGCACTGTGCACTCCACCCACTGGCATTTTTCAGGAAGTAGGAGGAAACCAGAGAACCCGGAAGAAACACATACAGACACAGGAAGAACGTGTAAAAATCCCACTGCATCAGTGTGCCATGCACAAGGAAGATGGGTTTAAATAAATGTTTAAAACAGTTTAAGAATCGTGCTTGATCTGATAAAATCATACCAGCACCACACACACACACACTACCATGTCACTGCCAGGTCAGTATCACTTGTGTGTTGAGAATGGTCTACTATCCAAATAATCAAATAACAACTGGTCAGTGGTAGAGCTATGATTGGTGTGTGTGACTGATAAAATGGTCAGTGATTGTAGGTATAACCTGAGTGCAGGTTATCATAAAGTTAACTGGTTGTAAAACAATTCATTCATTCATTCATTCATTCATTCATCTATCTTCAGGAAGTGCTTGGAGCTGGAGCCTGAAGGATGATGGACGATACCAGGATAGGATGCGAGTCTATCGCAAAGTGCCATACACGCACACATCCACACACTTGTTCGCACCTAGGGTCAATTTAGAGTTGCCAATCCATCAAGTATGTCCTCAACACAGCCTGTGGCAGGATGACATATTGGATTAGATCCACTACTTACTGGATGTTGTAACCCTAACCCTAACTCTAACCGACATACCGTCTCTGCCATCGATCAATCCATCATTTTTCTGCCACTTTCCTGTCGAAATAAATTCGTGCATGCGCGATTAAATATTCATGACGTTATCGAACCCTGCTACAGTGCACGTGTTACAACATCCAGAACGTAGTGGATCTAATCCAATACATCATCGTGCTACAGGCTTCTTGAATCCATCCACCAGCATGTTTTTGGATGATGGGAGGAAACCAGAGAACCCAGAGGAAACCCACCCGGACACGGATATCATAACAGTTATGATATTATAATAATGAAAGATTTTTTTTTGACCATGTCTAACCATAACACACATATCCAAATCTAGACGGATTTATTTTAAAAGGCAAGACAAGAGGCTAAGGCTACAAAGTGTGCATCTTTTATCAGCATTTTATATGATCCAGTGTCCTAAGTTGCACCTGGTTAAAATAATGAATTGACACATGATTGTGAATATTCTAGACAATTATTATATAACTATTATTATTATAAAGACAAGCAACAGGTTTGTGTGGTGTTAATTTGTAGCCCCACAGCTAAATCATCTCCCTTTTCACCTAGCAAAGGAAGCTTTTCCAGCGAGGCTGCAAGCGGAAGGATACATCCGCTTAACGCCTTATTATGAGTGAGCCTGATGCACCCTGCCCAACTGTAGGTTAGCAAAAAAAACAAAAGTGCCAAAGTGTACCATTGCATAACTTGTAGTGTTGTAATATAAGCACTAGATTTAATAAATGATTCCAGTCAAAGGTATTCTTCATTCATGAATGTCGTGCGGAAGAAAGAAGGAAAGAAAAGAAAAAAAAAAAGAGGAACCGCGGACTATATGACGACGCGGATGTATCAGAAGCACACGAGTCGGTGGTGTAGTCAGGGCCATCTTTGCTGGTGCTCTGCGCTCGCGCTTTCCACTCATAAATACAGTGTAACACGCAAACTGATCGCATTAAAGCATCAGCTTTACGGCTAGCAAGGCTGCATTAAGGAAGCTACTCTCCTTGCTTTGTTTTTTTTAATAAAAAAAATAATTGTCGCAGGGAAATCAGAGGAATTATAGCTCCATTATAATACACCATGGATGAGGAATATGATGTGATCGTCCTGGGCACTGGACTCACAGTGAGTAGCTTATATATATATACAAACATGTATACTCCATAATGTCGAGGTTGTACGTAACTTGTAGGTTTATTTGATATAAACACGTGCTGAGATATGATTGTTTGGCTGAGGAGAAATTTTTGTTGTAAATCGATGCTGCGTGATCATCAATAAGGCCTATTGCTGCTGACGCATCCTCAGGACCGGCGTTATTTTATTCCACACCGCTATTCGGACAAATCCCGCCTCCTGCGCCATGATTGGATAGTATTTCCAGGTTCCTGTACTCCTATTACCTCATATCAGCAGACTTGTTTGTCGGAGTGGGTTGTTGACCAATCGTGAGGGAGGAGGCGGGGCTTGTCGGGATGCGGATGGGGAAAAAAAAAATTAAAGCTCTATCATTGTAGGCGGTGGGCTTCGTTGATAAGGCGTGACCCAGCGTTTCTTAACATATGGATATTTTATATGTATTTATGTATATATGTATAATAGTGTCGATTATGTAATTTATTCTTGTGCATCTATCAGAATTTGAGATATTAAAAATAAAAGAATAATGAATTTCCTGTTTTGTGGGCATCAGGTGTCATGATTGTGCATCAAAACAGACAAAAAAAAATGTCAATGTTGTTCATTACATTATATGTATTTTTGTAAGCTCCCTGTTTAAGCATTATTTCACCCCCGAGCTAGTGCACTCCTCTCATGAAGGGAGTAAGGAGCCATTTGGGATTCAGCCATTATGCCCTTTTCCTCCAGCATTAAACAAAACCTGGGTGTGAGAGACATTTACACCAACAGCACTGTTTTATTCAGCTGTATTAGCAGTTAGATCAACAAAATGCACAAACAAACAAACAAACAAAAAAAATCTCAAGTTAATTCTTTGGTAGCCACTGAGCTCGGTGTCTCATATGAAGATGCACTGGGTGGAGCTGCATCCCAGAATGCAATGCATGAATTAGAATGTAGGCCTTAGGCCTTTCACCTTCATAAGATAATGAATTAAACACAAAAAGGCAAATCAAATATATTATTAGTTGGTGAAAAAAAAAAAGAATTTTATTTCTGACATTTGTCCTAACATTTTTTCCCCTGACTAATAATATTTATTATTATTATTATTATTATTATTATTATTATTATTATAAAATTAATTATTCAATTCCATTTTATTTGTAAAGCATTTTTAATGATGCATATTGTCACAGAGTAGCTTTACAGAAATATATAAATTCCGGATATAAATTTTAAATTTATATATTTGTCCCTATATTATTTATATTATTCTATTATTAATTAAAACATATATTCATATGCTAATTGACTGTTTAACAATCTTGCATGTGTACATAATAATAATAATAATAATAATAGCAATAATAATAATAATAATAATAATACTAGTGTTAATAGTAATAATAGTGTTAATAATAGTATTATTACTACTTGTTTTCTGTAGGAATGCATTCTCTCTGGGATCATGTCAGTCAACGGAAAGAAAGTTTTGCATATGGACCGGAACCCATATTATGGAGGTGAAAGTTCCTCCATCACCCCTCTGGAGGAGGTGAGGATACACATTTGCCATCCGCTCTCCCTAATAATGTTCTGTCAAAAGCTGTTTAGATTTGAGCTAGCATAGTATTTCAGATAGCACAAAGTGGATTGACCTTTTATTTATTAATGTATTTTTAAATTGCCTCTTACAGCTTTATAAGCGATTTGAGCTTCCGGATGGCCCTCCAGAGTCAATGGGCCGGGGACGAGACTGGAATGTTGACCTCATCCCGAAATTTCTCATGGCCAATGGTAATAAAGCAGCCATATTTAACTGTCTAACAAAATTGCATCTATACATATTAAAACGTAACTCATACATGAGTAATATTTATATCACAGCGCTGTTGATTTCTTAAAAGGTCAGAAGGTGTTGATTAACTTTCTATAACAGCAGCTTTGGCAATAGTGCCTGCTGTAACTCCAAACACAGGTTTATATTAATGCACTCGTTCTAATGTTATTGTTTCTATAGTAACAGCGTACACTGGGACTTGTATGGTGGACGCTCACATAATCTAAAACTAATAATAAACCCCAAAGCATGTTGTTTACCAAAGAAAAACTTGTAATCATTGACATGATGAACGAGTCTCCTGCGTGAGCGCTTTGTAACAGTCGGGACGTTTTCCGACATGGGAGAGTCTTCATGGCAGAGATCACTTTGCACTTCTTGATAACATAGTAACAAAAACTGCATTTTTAGTCTTATTAAGTTCAAGAGCGAAGTGATAACAGGATCTGACTTGTTTTGTGGATGTTCCAAAACATTAAATGCAACTATAAATATAAGAAAAATTATGTTGGGTTAATCATTCATAAATTAAAAATTGTAATCTTTGTCAAATTTCTATGGTATAGAAGACTTGCTGCTATTGGAGAGTAATCGACTTCAGGGTGGTAACAGTAACTCAGCTTCACATTGGGCCACATTTACAGCATTTGGAGACACCCTTGTCCAGGGCAACTTACATTTATCTCATTTTCTACAACTGAGCAGTTGAGGCTTAAGGGCCTTGCTCAAGGGCCCAGCAATGGCAGATTATCAGAGCTGGGGTTTGATCTCACAACCTTCCAATCCATAGTCCAACATCTTAACCACTAAGCTACCACTGCCACATCACACTGCCCCGTTATTGATTAATTTCCTGTAACAGCATCCCCTGTTGTGTTATATTCCTTATATAGTTCACAGTTTGACTTCTAATTGTTCAGATTCCCTTTGGTTAAATAGTGCTGAAATTTGTCTGATATCTACAGGGCAGTTAGTTAAGATGCTCTTGTACACTGAGGTGACCAGATACTTGGACTTCAAGGTGGTGGAAGGAAGCTTTGTATATAAAGGAGGGAAGATCTACAAAGTTCCATCGACAGAGACTGAAGCACTGGCATCCAGTAGGTTTCGTTTTCCACACTGCCTCATTACATACACTGAAGTGTTCACTGTATGTAAATGTTGTGTTTTGTAGCAACTCCAGATTAAACTCCAGCACCAATGCCTTGATGTTCTGTCATCCACTTCCTGCAGATCTAATGGGAATGTTTGAGAAGAGACGTTTCCGGAAATTCCTAGTCTTTGTGGCCAACTTTGATGAGAATGATCCGAAGACTTTCGAGGGCGTCGATCCCAAGCAGACCACAATGGGAGAGGTGTATAAGAAGTTTGACTTGGGCCAGGATGTTATTGATTTCACGGGACACGCCTTGGCCCTCTACAGAACAGACGAGTATGAACTTGTTTTAGCGCAGTTATTATTACTATTATTATTACTATCATTATCATAGACATTTTGAAATGGATAAGAATAATGTGAACAGTCTTATTTGGGAATTAAGATTATTTTAACTCGGTCTTGATCAAATTGAAAGAAAGTTCTGGAGATATAGTTTATAGTTTACTGATGTAGCGTTTACGATATGGCATAGACCCGAAAACGATGCCTTTCTTCTTTCTCGGGTTAAAACAGTGGTCAGACCAAATGTGAATAAAATTAGCCCTCAGACAAAGAAAAGAAAATTCACTAAAAGGGAAAGGACTCAGAAGTACTAATTTATTAATCTCAAATGCAAAACTTTTTATTTGAACTTTTCTGTCTTTCTACTTTTAAAACTTTCTTTCTTCTCTGGCTCGGAGGAGAACCAAGCGATGATGCTGACTTCTTTCAGAGCATGTGATTGGCCATGTACGTTTATATTTATCCTGGATGATGATTAGAAATTGTTACACGTTTATCTCTGAACTTTTATATATATATATATATATACATGTAGTTTTTTTTCAAACATTCCATCAAAATCTGTTTAAAATCTGTATGAACTCATTTTTAACTCAACAAAATGCCAGATGGAACCTTATAATACTGAGGTTACAAACTGTCCGTTGAAAAAAAACACACTTTCTTGACAGTTGTAACAAACTGAATTAGATTGACCCTGCAAATGCTAACAAACATTCCTTTAAAAGCTACACGTTGGGAATAAATAAAAACAGTTGAAGCAGGTGTCTTTTATCGCTGAAGGTATCTCAGAGTTTTGTCTAGACAATGAATGATTGGGTGGTAATTATGTTCCCATGGTTGTTATTGTGGTTTTGCTGTGTGGTGGGGTGTGAAGGACTCAAATTTGCTTCTGGTGGCTGTTACTTTCACTTTGTGGCGACTTTAGAAAATGAGAATCCGTGACTGGTCGTGTCTCTGGTTATTATTTAATAGCAATTATTTTGTCTGGGGAAAAAAAAAGTTTAAGATTAACAAGGTTTTAAAGGTGGCTACCAAGAAGAGTTAATGAATGGTAAATTCTTTTTTAGTCATAACCATCGTTATATCAGAAAACTGAGGGCATCATTTTAATTTTCTACATCAAGTATGTCTTGAAAGTCAGGATTTTCTTTGGGATTTTCTCTTCAACAGTTACCTTGAGCAGCCATGCCTGGAGACTATTAATCGCATCAAGCTGTACAGCGAATCGTTGGCCCGCTACGGGAAGAGCCCTTACCTGTACCCGCTGTACGGCTTGGGGGAACTGCCTCAGGGCTTTGCCAGGTGAGCAAAACACAGTTCCAGCACCTCAACCCATTTTTCTACCAACCTGGTTCATATGTTTAGTGACTTTCCACCACAAAAAAGTCACAAAAAACACTTCCTGAGACAACATGAGGAAGTAACCTCAAGAGGAACCAGACTCAAAAAGAGGAACCTCTGCAGTGTGACACCAGATAGTGGGATTATAAATAATTACTCTTCTACAACTGTATACTGTAAAGTCAAACAGTACTAAGTGTTAAAAGGAAGTTCAGTGTGAGCAGATTGTGAATAAGAGTCTTAGGATGAGCACACGACAGCCTATATGATTACAGCAGCACTTCTTAGGTACAAATCTAAAGTATCCATTTCATTACTGTACATAATCATTTGGTTCTTCACAGGGTTTCTCTGTATTTCTTTTATAGACATGTGAACATGGCCATTGCATTATTCTGCGTTTGTGTTAACAGGCTAAGTGCTATTTATGGAGGAACCTACATGCTTAACAAGCCGGTGGACGAGATTGTCATGGATGGCGGCCACGTCATTGGAGTAAAATCTGAAGGAGAGGTAAACTCAGCTTTTCTCAGCTCACCGTTTACCTTGTGCTGTATTGAGACTGCAGTTTGCTGACATGATTTTATTTGGTCAGCTAACATAAATGATTATGAAAATCGACTGTAAACGTATTGATTACATGGTTTTACATGGAAATCAGTGCTATTTCGATTCACTTAGGATTTTCGGACTTGATGTGATGTAGCACAAACAGAAATGATGGCCGTTACCAGGTTATTGAAGAATGCTGCATGTCTCTGGAGGTGCCAATATTTACGATTTAGCCATAGCATTTACAGTAAAAGTATGCACCCAAAAAGTACACTTTTCCACATTTTCAGCTAAAGCTGCAGTCAGACCAAACGTGAATAACATTAACCTGGCAGAAAAGGCAGTGCTCTGTAGGGGAAAGGATGCAGCATGTGTATTTGCTTCTGCTAGCAGAAACTTTTGCCTCTTGCCATCTTAATCAAGTGAACTAAACCTTCTGTCTTTTCCTATCAGATTGCACGATGCAAGCAGCTGATCTGTGACCCCAGTTACATCCCGGACCGCGTGCGCAAAGCGGGCCAAGTGATTCGGGTCATCTGCATCCTCAGCCATCCCATAAAGAACACTAATGATGCCAACTCGTGTCAGATCATCATCCCGCAGAACCAAGTTAACCGCAAGTCAGGTCAGTGCTGAACACACGACTTGCATCTCCAGCTTCACCTCTTTGCGTATATTGTTGCATTAAAACATTTTATTTTATATCCCTTTCTTTGTTAAAGTAAAAACGTTGAATAAAAACAGTTTTGTTGTCAGCTTTATACCAAAATGTAATACAGTAATACAAACTTTATATCATTAAAAAAAATTGTTGGGCATTGTGAGGGGATATTTTAGCCTTATACCACAGTTCTGTTGTATTCTCGATTCTGATTGGTCAGAAGGTGTTGGTTAATGTCCTATAAACGTTGCAACTCAAATCACAGACTTATATTAATGTGCTTGTTTCCATAGTAACAGCTCATTCAAAGGGACTTGTCTGGATAAAAACATGTTATATAACAAACACATCTCCTCATTGATATGGTGGAGACTCTTGTATGGAGATGTTTATGTAACATTTATGTAAGGTGTCTCCAGTGTCTGCACTTTAACAGTAACAGTCAGTAAGTTTTCCACCAAGGGAAAGCCTTCATCCAGGACTGTATATATTATATTATATAATTATATTATATTATATAATTATAATATAAAAACACACCTGAGCTATCAGCATAGCACAAGATATTGCACAGTGCACATGCTACAGACAGCATCTTAGATCATCTCCATGTATACCTTTAAGTTTCTGTATAGTAATTACACAATACCACCACTAGAGGGTGTGCTTGCATCATCTCAAGCTGGTCACAGTTCAAATAAAAAGAATTTTTGACCTAGACTGTTTGCATAGTGAAACAGCATCACTTGATCAGTGTGTATTTATGTCCTGTGACATAATGCTCATTTGTTGTTTTATGCACAGATATCTATGTGTGTATGATCTCCTATGCCCATAACGTGGCGGCCCAGGGCAAGTACATCGCCATTGTGAGCACCACTGTGGAAACCGCTGAGCCTGAAGCTGAAATTGAGCCTGCACTCGAGCTGCTGGAGCCCATTGACCAAAAGTATGTTTTCTGCATACTCACTATTTCTTTACTTACACTTTTCCGCAGGGGGTACATTACAAGGTGGGGCTTTAATTACCACAAAGTGTGAAGAGTTAATTTTTTCTTTTCTTGCTTATCACATCTGTTTCAATTCAATAACTGTTTGTGTATATATATATATATATATATATATGTATGTATGTATATGTATATAAGCTTAGCATCTTCATACATCTCTTGACATCCAAATAGATTTTATAGATTAAGTTTAGTTACGTACTAAGAATTAAGAAAAAAAGTAATGAAACAGCCCTTTGCTTTCATACTCCAAAAATCTCAAATCTAAGTCTGATAACTGTTATAACATTGCAGTGTCTTTTGTTTTTACTTAGAATTTTTATATACTAAATTGCTATTTTCTATACACTCTAAAGCTCTTTGAACTGAAATTTATTAAAGGTGATATTGAAAAGTACTAGTACTACAACTACTAGTATTATTACTATTACTACTACTAATTAGTAGTAATAATTCATAATTAATTATTAATTATTTTACAACCATAATATTTGTATTCTTAAAATTATGTATAAATTATTTTACAACTATATAGTAGTTAATTATGAATTATTATACAACCATAATATTTTTTAACATTATATTTTATTATTATTTTAAAACAGTTTTACAGCTATAATCATATTTTTTATTATTATTATTATTATTATTATTATTATTATTATTGTTGTTGTTGTTTATCATTCTGTCTTTATCCTGTAGGTTTGTGGCTATCAGTGACATGTACGAACCGACAGATGATGGGTCAGATAGCCAGGTAAGTGCTCGCGTCTTTATATTTTCCAGCCATACCTGAGTAAATAAATGCCCAGAGA